TCTGAGATCACACTGAGTGCTTTCCCCGAATGTGTGTGTGTGTGAGAGTGGGGAGGAGATCCGACCGACCACAGCAGGCAGAGAAATGTGTTTCTGACCATGTTAGTGTGAGTTAGAGTGAGTGGAGAGTGAGAGCTGCTGTAAAGACTGAATAAATGGTTGCATGGAGACAACCAAGAGTGCTCCATCAAACAGACCTCAGACCACAAAACTCAAGTCATGCTACGTATATGAATGAAGTGCCTTGGCTGTTTTAACACCATGTCACTCTGCTGTGCTGAGACCCAGTGAACAGACCTGCAGCTCAGGACTCATGAACCGTACAGTCAGACCCCTCCCTGGTAAAACATCTAGCACCAATCAGGCTAAAGGCGCATTTACATGTAATCTGTTCACCACTGACTTTGAATCCATGCACAACATCTCGGGTCTCATTTATATGTATTTTCAAATACCACAGCTCATTTCGAGAAGACAACTCGCATCTTACGCAACACATTGCATCAAACCTTTAATTCCTAATAGCTTTACCTGATAATGTATGCTGGGAAATTGTTGCTCAGTTAATCCCTTCATAAAGCTGCACAGTGTTTGCACTTTGTGCACTTGTTGACCTGCACAGCTTCCCAAACTGCTCTGACAGCCAACAGGAAATTCTCTATCTGGTCTTGAATTTATTTAGAGATACAGCCATTTCCACCTCAAACCACATTTTGTATCAACAAAGATTTACTGCTCAAGATAAAATTTGATCATAAATGAAGCCGTTTGCATTGCGAATATCTACGACATGTATAATGTTGTTGCCCCTCTAACAGAATTAAAAACACAGAACCGTCACTCCACATTGACTGACAGGTCATCACAGGCTAACACTACACAGCAAGTAATGGACTCCATGACCTCAGCATCTCCAGGATCAGCTGCACCATCGGGTTCAGGAGGACGGCCGAGAGGTTCAACCCGGTACGGCTTGTGACCGCTTTGATCCTCCAGCTCATTATTGTGGGGAGTGGGTTGGTGCTCTGGTAAAGATTGGCATCCCACCTATATGACTGAGGCCAAAGTTTCATGCTACATGGTGAGAGTCATTTTCAGTCTCTGTCTCAATATAAAATCCCTGACTCCTGAGTCCTGACGTTATCATGAGCGGCCCAGTCTGAGTCCTGATGTTTTTATTATATTATTTTTTTTGGCCCCATACATTAGAGAGAGGTGTGTCCACACATTAGGACATGAGAATGATTGTATAGTAGAGTTACATTGAGTCTACAGGTGATTGTTATGGTGGTATCTCCTTCCATAGAGCATAAGTAGGAAGTGAATTCAGCCTCTGAGCATCTGAAGTGAGCAGTGAGCATGTGACGCACAGTGGAGCAATACATCACTGCAGCATCTGCCTTTCATCCTTCTTACAGAGCTGGACAAGGTCACTACAAATATCATCACCCCGCCCCCACCCTGACTCATTTCATATGTCATGTTACAGCATGCGGATGAAGAACTCCAGCGCCTTTTCTACTCAGCATCCCCAAGTGTGTTGTTAACAAAAGTGAAACCGGGACACCATCACAGCCCGGCCATATTCCTGAGAGTGTGGGACACACCGAGAGGAGACTTTGCATTTAAATTCTTCCCACTGAGCACAGCAGACAAGGAGATCACCGCTGAACAACGGTGCTCCCCACATAACCCCTTACTATAAATAGCAAGCCAGTGACAGGAACTGCCCGGATAATGAGTTGAACAGAGGATGAGAGCCTCTACACGAAAGACAAGGGAGATTCGGTGTTCCAGGTTCTACGAGGACATACACAGTGTTAGCCCAGGTGGGAGCGTTTGTGTTCGCCTCCATCAATGACAAACACAGAGGCCATGTGATCAATTATAAACTCAAACAGACAGATTGCTCATTTGGCAATCCTATTAGCTGCTGACAGATGTCTTCATGTAATAATCCTGCCTGCAAACACATCATAAACACCCCTTCACACCACCACCCAGCAGTAACTGTGGAAGTGGATCACCCACTTGACTCCGTGCTACAGCCTGAATGACGATCAACATCACACCGAGACAACACAAGCCTCCCTCGGTGCTACCTAGCATGGCCTGTCCCAAACACAGCCAAGAGGCCGAACGACAGATTCCCAAATATTTCCCCTTCTTGAATGGTTAACCATGAAAAAAAACAAAAAAAACAAAGGCTGTAATTACCTACAAACAACATGCACATTGACTGCATCATAAATGACTGGTGCACTTCTCGTATTTGAACTCTATTTCCTTGTGGCATAATCAAAAGGAACAGAGGAAACTGAAAGCTGTCATTTGTTGCCCGTTTGGTTTCTCCCAAAGGACCCATGCATGTACCACTGCAAGGGCCGGCCTCCTCCATAAACACAAGACTACAACGTAAGCACTGCAATTAGGATGTTTTACAACTTTACTTTCCCTTTTGTCATTATTGAGACGTCCAATTACGCCGCACAGCAAGCCATGACCGAAATAGCAATGGTTTATTATTCAAGTGTTTCTGAAACACTTAGGTAATGTAGTTTACAAGTAAATGTTACGTGGCAAGAATACAATTACACACAGTAGCTTAGTCAGGCTAGTTTGCCATAATGAAGCATTTAAGGGCCCATTTAAGACATAAAGAACAAACTTTCACAGATAACTTTACTAAACACAATAAAGCCTTGTTTGACTGCTTCACATGGCACTGACCTAATGAGGAACAAATGGCTGGCTGATCATGTGAAGAGAAACCGCTTGCAGCGCACTGAGGTGGTTCCCAGAAAAAACACACGCAGTGCACTGAAAAGGTTCCACGTTTTACATTTTGCGGCGGCTGGCAGCAACATGTTAAAAATGTGGATCTCAAGCCAGAGGCAGCTGCTGAACGGTGGTGAGCAACCGTACACGAAGATGTCACGATAAAATCAAATATGTGTGTTTCTAAAACGGAGTTGATCACAGGGCTGTAGCTTGACGACACGGAGGTCAGTAAGATCATCTGCTGTATCACTGTGGGACTTTGTTTTGGTAACCTAGGGGGAGGTTACAGTTTACAGGTAAAAACATATACATCGTGGATATTGTATAAGCTTATTCCAATATGTTTAAATGTTTAGTCCAAGTTCTAGGCCATCAAAATACTGAATAAATGCAGGCCAGACATTTATAACTGGCAGTGTGCAGAGGGTTTAGAAACTGCATTTAAACCTTCGTGTTGGGAGGAAATATTTGTAGAAAGTTTAACAAAATATTTAACATCATAAAATCCAGATAATTCTTTAAATACTGTATGGAGCCTCCTTTTTGGTTTCTAGTTCAAGGTTTTTACGGGTGGTGGGGGCTGCACTGAGGAGACTCCTGGCCTCAGTGTTTCTAAAATCCTGGTCACAGCTTTGATTTGAGTTTGAGCTGCAGTATTTTCACTGACCTGCAAAGAAAACTTCACGTCACACACTGGAGACAATTAATAGAGTTGTCAGGCAAGACACAAACAGACACCCTCCACTATCACATGTTTACCTTTAACCATGGAGGACAAGGAACTGAGCCAATAAAATGGATGTACAGGAGGCAGATGGGGAGTTATTGATCGAGCACAGATCCTGTTGAACCCACGACTGTGCCTGGTGCAGCGTTAGAACACATGTTAACTGAAAAGGATCTTGTGAACGTCGATGTTATTTCCACTTTCTGTTACCGACCATTACAGTCCTACAGCCAAACAGTCCATTAGCGTGAAAACATGTCCTCCAGCTAATTTTGTGACAGACGTCGTGGTCTGAGGAAAGACTCATCTGCTTCAGACTGACTTACATTAAAGGCGCAGAGTCGTCCACTGTGACCTGATGCCGTTAACAAGCACGCTGTCATCAAAGTCTGTTTGGCTTTGCCGTCAATTGGCCAAACCAGCTGACCTGAGCGACACCTCTCTGATACCTTCTCTCATTTCCACCGACAAACACAGAAGCGTCAAAAGCAAAGTTTACACGTTTTGACCCGGAGAATTGGTGAAAATCAGAATAAACGCTGTAGACTGTCAAAATAAAGGAGTATTAACCTTTAGCTTCAGCTCACCTGCTCAGTGTCGCTGCGGTGCTGCTGTTGTTTGATCTTGATCTTGATGCTGCTGCTGCTGCTGCTGCTGCTGCCGCTGCCGCTGCCGCCACACGCACGCGAGTCATTAAAGTGTCACCACCGGCCCGTGCTGGAGCCGGTAGGTGGAGCGCGCGAAGCGACTTTGGCGCAGTGCTCCAGTGGATTTCTGGGAAATGTAGTCTTTTCTTATTAAGGGACGACGGAAAGTAAGATTAAAAAACTTTATCGTAGTGTAAGTTTCCCAGAGAACTTGAATGCAGCTTTGGAGACAGATGTGTTTGATGGTGTTGTATGGCATTGCATGGGTTTTAGTAATATTTCGCTCTTCCCTTTTAGTTAAATAAGAGGAAATCAACATTTCTCTTACATATTTGCAACAAAAATATTATAGGATTTTAAATATTATATTAAAACCATAATATTATTCATAATATTTAGTGGAGCCCTATTGATTGTTGCCTGTGAGAGAGGAGGTAAATGTTTTTGTTTTGTTTTTTTAAACAAAAAAGACGTTCAGTATAATGCAGTACAATTCAACAACACACAGACTAAAGCCTCAAAAATGACCATGAAGTTTCAAGAAAAACATTGTATAACCTGCAGGAGGACAGGATCACTGCAGGGCTGCTGCTCGAGTCACATTGGCAGGTTGACTTTGTGTCGAATGTGCTGACCAGAATTTGAATAAACCTTATTATGAGAGGATAAAGGCGATTTAAAACAAGGTTTGAACAATACGCGTTTTTACCTGTTTCTCTTCACTCGTGTCATTATATAAATATATACTCTTTATCTGTGTTTTCATTGTTTCCGCTCTCAGATATTAGAAATGTGACGAATCTGCCACAGCTTGTCGTTGACTACATTTACCTAAACGACTGTCATTGAGAAACATGGCCGCCTCCACGGGTGCTGCAAATGTTGCTGCCTCCGACTTACAAGGTCCAGCTTCGGCTGGGCCGAGTCCGGACAGCCCGACGGTCCAGTACAGTATGATCCTGGACCACCTTATCGGGGACAAGAGGCCCGTAAAGGACCTGAACCCGGCCGTTATGGGGGGGCTGCCGGTGCCTGCGAAAAGCGACGAGCAGAAGATGATCGAGAGGGGAATGGAGAGCTGCGCCTTCAAGTCTGTTCTGGCCTGTGTGGGAGGTGAGACACCACACTGATATTAAACATGAGGATTTACCGCACACATTCCTGCTGTAGGCTACATATGGAGGGGGATTTGAAGGTGACACTGAGATTTGAGCTTGAGTCTTCCATAACGGAGAGCTGAAATAATTAGTTGATTGATAAAAAATGTATTTTGATGATCGATCAAAGTCATTTTTTAAGTAAAAATGCCAAATATTCTGTATCACCATACAGCCTCGCATGTGCTGTTTGTCTTATGTGACAGTAAACTGATCTTCAGGGAGTGTAATCAGTGATGGACATTTTTCTTTTACATGTTATAGATCAACTGATTGATGGATCCTTGCAGCCCTGCCATAATGCTGCCTTACACACACATGAGCAGTCACCTCAAGAGCAGCATGCATCTGTTCTTCCTCAAGGCTGTAGATATTTTTCCTGCTTTGTTGCTTAGACACTGATGTCGGTGTTTCTGTTTTTCCTGCAGGCTTCGTTCTCGGAGGAGCCTTCGGTGTCTTCACAGCTGGCATCGATACCAATGTTGGCTTCGACCCCAAAGACCCCCTGAGAACTCCAACAGCACGAGAGGTCCTCAAAGACATGGGCCAGAGGGGGATGTCCTACGCCAAGAACTTTGCCATCGTGGGCGCCATGTTCTCCTGCACAGAGTGCATCATAGAATCAGTAGGTCACATCCCTTCTTTTCTTTATGTGCGGTATATATACAACCACACTGTTCCATAAACATGACATAAATGAGTAAAGAACTTTTCATAATGTCCCTTGTTCTCTGTAGCAAAACAGCAAATGTACAAAATAATGTAAACACTTTGTGGACAGGGATTTAAACCCTGAAGTATCTAACTTACAGTTACAGGCCCTGCTATGAGAGTGGCTCACATTAGGTGTGATGGGAGTTACATGACATTTGTGGACAAATTACATGAGTATTGGTGTAACAAAAAATAACAAACACAACAAAACAGCTGGAATATTTAATTTGTCAGTGGGAGCAATATAGAAAACATGACAAACACATGCGGCAAACACATCTACACATGGAAGAGTATTTCCAAGTTGAAACAAGGCTGATAAATGAAACTCATGTGGACCACCTGTGCAGCAGCGTCTGTAATTACTCACTGATCTTTCATTAATTGTTTGAATAGTTGTCGTGTGTCCAGACTGAGTGGAGAGCAGTTTTGTATTTGATTTTGTTGTACAGGTGCACAGGGTCTGTGCAGCCTTCATGCATTCTATTGCTTTAACAGACCTCTGATAGCATCTGGACAGAAGTTATATTATATAATTATATAAAGCACTCAAATACAAATCCCCATATTCTCATTGTAATTACATTCAATATCCCATATTGAATAACAGATGTTTTAGGAACCTCTGTGGTCTGATAGCTCCCTCTGCTGTAAAACTGTATACTGTACGGCAGCATGCTCATGGCCAATTCTAATTGGAAACTGTCTCTGTTTCCTGTTTTTGTTTTTTTCATCTCTTTTTTTTTTATTTGGCCTCCACATACCTCACACACAAATACACAACAACTGTCTTTATGTGTGTGTTTTTCATTTGCAGCACCGAGGCGTATCTGACTGGAAGAACGCAGTGTACAGCGGCTGTGTAACTGGAGGAGCAATTGGATTTCGTGGTATGTAACCCGGTACATTTACTCAGATTTTTCAAATTTAAAGTACTTTATTCCTGATGAATTCTTTTTCTGTTGTGCAGCTGGTCTGAAGGCGGGGGTCCTGGGGTGTGGAGGCTTTGCTGCATTCTCCGCTGCCATTGAATATTATTTGCGGTGAGCCACGAGAGAGTGGCTCTGTGGACAAGAATGTAATCGATGCACATCTGGAAGAGCCGTGAAGACTCACGCTGTGAGAAATCTGACTTTGTGAATATTTACCTGCACATGGAGGATTGCTGCAAAAGCAGAACAGATGTATTTGGAGGAAGTGACAGGTTCCTGTTCGTGAACTGAAACAGACCTGTCTGTATTTTCTTCCTTTGTCTCATTACTTTTGTGTTGTGGACAGTTTGAGCAAAGCAAACCAACTTCATGTGGAGACTGAAGAAACTCAGCAGAGTGAGTCCTCTTCTGTGTAATGATGAGATGAGAATCACTGTCGCTCTGAGTCAGGACCACCTCACATCAGACTCAGATTAACACTGTTCTTGTTGTAGAACATTGGTATGATGTGTCAGTAACTAATCCACATCAGGATTATTTATATTAAAGATGTTTTTTTTGTTAACTTGAACATTCAGAACCTTTTTCTTGATGAAGTTTACATGTGTCCATGACCACAACATTGTTTATCGCTTATTAATTACAGTATTGATTCCAGGGCTGCACGATACGCAAAAACAAATCATTTATATTTTGGCAGATTGTGCAATTTTAGTTGGAACATTTTACCTTTATCAAAGGTTTTTTCTTGCAGCTCCTGCGATTTGGATGTTGCACTTGGCCATACTGCAATTTTGGTTATATTTTGATTAATTGTGCAGTCCTGATTGATTCTAGTTTGAATCTAAGTATAATGAATATAATTTTTCTTTATTCTAGTCAGAAATGATTTTTCTTTTGTCATTCACGTTTCACACAAAGTTTACAGAGTAAAAGTGTCATGTGTCTCCACCAGCAGAGGCTGCTGTCCACACATTTGAGGATGTTGTCATGAATTATATGTTCAACCCAAACAAAATCACACATGTAGTTCCACGTCACTGGCCATTTCAATTTTAAAGTAGTATGTTGCTTTTCGGCAGGACGACTAGGTTTGAATATTAATTATAACAGTTATTATAATTGGTATAAACTAAGCAAACAACACAAATATTGATATCGGAAATACTGAAAAAAATGAATTGATTGATCGATAAATTGCACTGGCCTGTTTTAAAGTATCGAGTTTGTGACACAAGCTTCCTGTTGGTCATATAGTCAGTGAAGAGTTTGCTGGGGACTGATGTGGTCTGTGTGAGGGGAGGTTTGGTGCTGATTATAAAATCGTCTGTTAAAAAAAAAAGAATAAATGTGTAATCACTATGTGTTACCACTAGAGGTCCTCCCACTTCCACATTACAGCCAGACCAATCTGAAGTTGAGTCTTTAATTCTAAATAAAAAATGGCAACTTCAGTAATAAACATTTCTTAAAATGAAAACCTCTCCATCAGTGTCAGTCAAAACTGAACATTTTGTCTTTGTAAAGCTGGAAGTTACAGGTGAGAGAGCTGTTGAGTTGGATTGCTCAGGTGTACCTTACTAAGTGTAGATTTAGCTGTTTGATGAAAAAAGTCATTTTAAAATGTAGATATTTACCTGTTGTGGAAAAGGTGCAACTCAAAAACAACTAAACAACAATACTGCATCTATGTGGTGTTCAGGAGCAGCGTCAGGGATACAAGCAGGAACACCAACAGGAGGAGAGGATGCTAAATGTTAAAATGACATGCACATAATATGAGAGGTTTGGGGAAAGAAAATAAATCTAGGTTTAAAATATATATTTCAAATGTACAATTACAAATTTGTCACCACATTTTAAAAGATTTCCTCAATCGCACTAAAAATATTGGTTGGAAAATTAATAACTTAATGTAAAGTTGATCATAAGTTGACAATAATAATTTTAATACATATTAGTTCATTGTTGTCAACAAATTTAGTTAAATAATTTAGACCTGCTGTGATTGGCATCACTGAAGTGTCCCGTAGCTCCACCTGCTGCTGTCAGATGGTGGTGATGTGGTTAATGTGAATGTGAATTCATGTGGAATCCACTGTGTTATGAAGTTTTTTATGTTGTGCAGGTAATGAACTCAGTCTGAAGTCCTTTTGAAACAACCCACCTCATTATCCAGCCATGAAGCAGATCTCACACTCATCTGACAAATGAATACTTCTGGCAAAATGCTTCAAACCCGATTGTCAGGTTCCCTACGAGAGCCTCAGTCACGGCCTGGAGATACCTTCGATCCAAAGTGTGGACCTCATTGAAACAGTGACGTGATGTTTCCAGGATTAAAACGTGTTGCTGTGGTCGGTGGAAGCTACAAATACACAGATTTCAGCAGGTCTGTGCTTCTGTCTTGAGTACTTCAACATATCAGAGTTAACTGCCCTCCAGCATAGCAAATTCATAGTCATGAGTTACACTTTCATTAGAGGTAACTTTCAGCTATTTGCACCACAGGGTGCAATATGAAAAGAGCTGGAACTTTAAATATGCACTTTATTCTTTCATGGCTGAAAAAACTATCCTACATACTGAAGTTTTTGAAGATTTAGTGAACGCTTGAAGTTATTAATAAAAATAAATTAAAGGCAGTCACAAGTTCGCTTCTCCAAGACTGAAAATGATCCGCTGTAAGTGCAGAAAACCGCACTACAGTCCGGGGGGGGGGGCTGGTTATTAATGTCACATGTACCATTCAGGATAATCAGCTCAGACATCTTATAAAATGCTGATATCAAATGTGATGATGAAGCATTTCTGTGACTTTTAGTTTTATGTTATTAATCCACTGTTTCCAAGGAGACATCACATGGAAGTGCAGACAGACACAGTCGGAGTGTTTTGGCAACTTTTATTTTACTAAAAAAAAGGGGGAAAAAGTTCACATTAACATTTAGCCTCAATATTACAGTATATTGAAATTCTTCTCAAAAGAAGTAAAATACAACATTTTTTATTTTATTTTAATCTTATATTAAAAATATCAAATAGTACTCATCTAGCAGTGCTTACAGTATTTTAAGATATGTCGCAGGCTTGATAGCAGAAAGGTTGTTGGCTTTGTACAGAGCAGAGATGGGCGTTTGCCAGCCGTAGCCAGGGCCTCGCAGAGACAACCTACCTTTGTGTTACCCGGCCTGGTTTGATTGACAAGCTGAACATGCAATGAGGGCAACTACACAAATCATCCTATAGATTATACCGGTGCAGTAAGACACTTGGAACAGGCTTGCAATGCAACAACAAGAAAAAAAGCTAAATGTTCCATTCATTGTGTTTTTTTTTTTTTTATCTCAACAACCCTCATGTCACAGAGTGGCCTGTCTCCTCTACGAAGTGATCTGAAATTAATTGGCAGATTTTCTGGTGATCTTTTCAGTTACAGCTTACCAACCATGGACATGGTGAATGAGAAAATCAGACTAAAAATAACATCACTACCTGAATAAACTTCAAAAAACAGACTCCTTGGAGCATTTCTCTAGTTGCACAGAACTGTACAGGCACACATATTATATATATTTAAAATAAATAGGGCTAATTTGACCGAGACTCACCGGGGAGGGCAGATCTCTCTCGCTTGTCAGTACAGAGAGACGCTTCGCCAGCCATCTATCACGATGGCTTCCCAGCCACTTCTAAACCTCACAAGTTCTCATAGTCCCTTAAACACGCACATACAGTCACACGCTCACTCAAGTACATCCACATCGTCACTCATACACCCCAGCCTCCTCCACCACATGCACAAAGCCAGAAAGACAGAAGACGGAAACAAAAACAGCCGTTGAACAGAATTATAAAACATGTAAATGCCATTTTTCTGGAATGCCTCTGATCAGGAAAAAAAAAGCTGGAGGTTTTTTCTGAGATCATTAAACCAGTGTCTGGAAAGGGCTCACGAGATGACACCAGCACACACGCTTTGGGCATGATCCCGTGCCGCCGCGCCGGACTGTGGCGTGCGGACCCCTCAACCTTTCCCACTGTGCTCCCAGAATGCCTTGTCGTCTTGTTGGTTGGAGGCGGAGAGCGGCTCTGCTCTCCTCACATTACAAACAGGACATGATGCATGACTACTTAGACGACCAGGAAATCTCCTTCACCACCTCCCTTCATGTTTGGCTCCATCTCTTTTCAGGGCAAGGGGGGGGGGGTGGTTGAAGTGGTTGGTTTGGGTGTGTGGAGAGGAGAGGTGTGGGGGTGGGGGTGGGTGGGTGGATGGATCGGCGGGGGGCTGTACCGATGAGATGAGCTGCCTGCTGGGAGGAGAGGTGAGGCAGGAGGACCGAGTGGCAGGGACCAAGGTTTGTCTGGAGTCTCCCACTCTCTCGTCTCCAGGTGCCGCCCTGAGGGAGGTGGGTGGGGGTTAGACGTCAGTGGAAAAGTAGAGCGTGTTGCGCTTCAGTTCGGCAAAGGAGATGGGAGGATGCTGCAGGTAGTAGAGCAGCACCTGGACCTGAGAGGAGAGAAGGTCGTCTCATTACAAATACATTAAGAATGCATCGACTCATTATGACTGTCGCCGTCTACTTCTCAATCTAATACAGAGCCGGACCCTCCCCAACACCCCCTGTCTGGTGTCTGGTACATTTTGGCACTATTAAAAGTAAGCTGAATTAACTATTAGCAGTTCCTGTTTGCAGTGTACCAATGAGTGTACAGACAGCTGTCACTGTGATGCTGAAGAAAACTTAAAATGTGAAGATTGTCAGGCAAGAGAATCTTTTTGTAAGCAGATTGATGAACGTGTATCTGCACTGGTCTGTTATAATGTGTGTTATTATGTACGTATTATATCCTGAAAGTGCAAGTCACACCAAATCTAAAAACAAATCTGACTGACTTATGACTTCAAGGAAGAATAAGATTCTTGATAGAAATTGCATAAATGGAGATCTGAGGGTTTTACTTCAAGAGCTGTGTATCGCAGCCACTGCAGCTGCTGAACATCTGGATAATTGGTCCAAATCAGCAGGTAAATGTGTAATAACCTCTTATAACTACATAGTTTTATCTCTAAGGTCACTTGGGTCTACATCCTCTTTCCTTTATTCTCCTAAAATCTAAGAACATGAGAGAGAAATATCTTCCCAAGCTGTTTTCTCTCATAAAAAAATCACAAAAGAATGATTTGAAAACTAAAAAAGTTTTTCTCTTTCGGTGAATTTTAAATAATTCTGGATTTTGTGGCAGACTAATTTCTTTTAGTTAATATTTAAGTTGTTTTGGATCATGAGCTGCTTTGATGTTGGGAGTTCTGTATAATTCAGCGTTTAAGTTCTACTTTGCTCTCTGGTCAGACAGACACTGTATTTTGTCGATCGCTCCTCCAGTTCAGGTTTAAATCCACAGCTCCCATGAAGAATACTTGCTCCTGAGCTCAGTGAGACTCATCTGGTAAAATACAGTTTAAACAGGCAGGTAGGGCAGTACAATCTGGGCAGATTTGAACATTTTAAAATGTTGTTGTGTGTCTAACAAACGTCTTTCTGAAAACCGGTGAATCAGTCTAAT